GAGGATTCAACTCTTGGAGCTACTCTTAAGCTACTCTCTCCTAATTCCCAAAATCATGGAAAAGGTTTAAGCTGCTTCTCTTACTAAGGCTGTATGGCAACAGACTGAGGGTCTGATGACTCACATTCCTCAGGGTGGCCTTTTAATATAAGAGTGGACCTGAGAGGAAAACACAAATCCCCTCTTAGCTCCAATTAAAATCATAGTTAAGGCTGTGTCCTCCACTACACTGTAGATTGAAGAACTTTAATGCTCTTTTAAAACTTCAAATGGCTTTGACTTGGTTGTCAGCCTGAAGGGCAGAGAGGAGATGCCAAGGAAGTGGCCAGAATATCAAAACTCCTGCAACTTTAAAGGAATACTCCGGCTCTGTCGCATGTAGAATATGGTTGAATACCACAGGCAATAATTTGATCCCTTTTTTGCCTGCATGTAGTAAATGAACAGAAACACACTCACTAAAGGTCCTACCCATAGACTTCTGTTATAGGTGTGCTGGGAGTCAATGAGCTGTTTTACCAAGTATAGTGAAATTATTGTCTGTGCTACTTGACCATACAATCCAGATGCAGCAGATAGAGACTAGATGGAGGAATGCTGGAGCATTCCTTTTATTTATCCCTTCATTTATCTTATGATAAAATGGCCCAATCATTGGTTTGCGTAATGTGATGCTTGTATATGGCAGAGTTTAGACAGAAAGTGGTGGCACTTGTAGCTTGAGTACTGAGAAGGATCAGTTAGATTAAACCAAGCTTATGCAAGACATATGACACCTGCAGAAAGCCCCACATTTGGTATTGAAAGAGGTACCGGTATTCTAGTAAATTCATGTAGCTATATTTACACTGAGTCGACAGTTTATTAGGTTTATCTATAGTCATTGGTCATTGTATAAGGTATACCTATCCAATATTAGTAGGTTTACAATTACAGACTGTAGCCTTTTCTGCACAATTAGTTCAGCATGTAAAAAGTTACTTAAACATAAGGATACATGATGATATCGGAATCTTTGGTATCAGTTAATTGCTTAAAAATTATCAGCCTCAAACAGATGCTTGGATTTGATGGATATTTCAAACTGATATTTGATGAGGTGCTGACTCTTCAAGAGCACAACGTTTAGGCTGCACTGGGATACTGTGCTAAAATGTCTGCATATTATTCATTGTACTACACTTGTAACCAGGCCTGTGCACAGATAGACCACAGGGGAGCTTGAGCCAGTGCATGAGCAAGTGCCATCTTGGTGGGTCTGTGTAATAACTGTATTTTATATTGCCACCGCCATTCTTCAAGATGTGTTTCAGCGAGATGAGGCTCAGCTTTTCCCTGGGAATAGAGCTTGTGGGTCGGCTTGGGTTCTATTAGATTCATTGCTCTTGGGCACCCCCTCTGGTGTAACACCAGCTGCCTGTGGTTCTCCTCTGTAACATCAGCCTCAATGCTGGAACTCCCACAGATAATCTGCTGAGAATCTCTTTAAGAAAGTGACACATTCCATAATGTGTTTATTTTAAACAACAACCAGGCTTTAATGTCAGCAATAAGGGGTGTTAATAATTTCTCACACCGAGTTTTGATTAAAAAAACAAAGACTCACTCATTCTAGACACTGTTGATTTCTTAAATAGCAGTATAAAAATGTACTGTGTAGTCATTAAACAGTGTAGTGAGCAACGCCATGCCTTTGCGCCCTGGTGACTGGTTCAGATACAAATGTTAGGCTGCCTTTGGAAAAACTCTTTATATACATTTGGTTTTATATGAAACATGATTACATTGTCTCTCTTGATGCGAGTGATTGCAATATGCAGTAAATTGAATTTAAGTTTAATTCATGTTCATTTTGCCCCTTTTCCCCCTTAATAGATGTAGTTTTTTTCTACCTTTTATGAATCAGCCTCAGCAGATGTGTACATGAAAAAACAACATTGGCCCAAACTCCTAAATCATTGCATCCTAGAAAAAAATATAATTCAGAAATTGGCATTAAAATCAAGGTGTATTGATACTGTTATTAAACATTAACAATAGCTAGGTTGATGAGGCACAGTAGTGTTGCTCAAGTTTTTACATGCCATGTACTGTGTAATATCTTTATTATTAAGTGCTGTAGAGTCGATTTTCTAGAGTGTTTCTCCTGAATGTCCTGTCTTCTTTTTGGGTATTTAGGCTTCTTAATCGCTTGTTCGTGATATCTCTGCTGTTATCTCTGTGATCATCCACCACAGGCATAGCCCTATATTGCTGCTGCCCAAAATAGGTGGTCAGTTTAGTCTGGCAGATCTGCTGAGACATTTCTGCCATTGGAGAGCCTGAAAGGAGTTAAAGCTCCAGGTAGTACAGCTCTGTACTTTGCTGATGAATGCAAGCCTCCTCATCCCAATAAGGCACCATACCATGAGAAGGACTGAATAATACCGCATCTAGTATACAACATTATTTCAAATTAAATTAAGAGAAAAATGTCCAGTATGCTAAAAAATGATCATATTGTAGATCTCTACTCAATATAAAGTCACAGCGGAGCCAGTAAGGAATCCTAATCCATGTTCAATACACATTCAGACTTTGGATCCTGCTGGAGTGTATGTGTTGGCCTACATCAGTGGACTCCTGCAGGGAAGCTCTCTTGGTCTCCTGCCAGTGAATACAGAAACTGCATAGGTTTCACACACAGATCCTTTCCCTCAAAACTCTTCTTCACCAGAGTACCCCAACACCACATTTTTGGAAAGTTTTCCAATGTTGTTTTATCATCAGCAAATATTTTATGATTTTGTCTGTGCACAGATTTATGCCCAAGACCCTTGAGTAATGTCTGATTTTCACCAGCGCGGTTTTCCAGTTATAATTCTGGGAGGGCTCACCATGACACTGCCATAAAACACTCAGCGGGGATAGAAAGAGGAGCACGGCATATTTTCACCCCCATCGCTACACTTTAGATTAGTCATGTAGTAAATTTAAGACAATCACTATTGCTGAGTTAGACATTGAATATACAGTATTCTCAGACTGTGTACAGTTCAAAACAAGCATCGCTCATAGGGCATTTCAAGCCAAAGCTTTAAAGTATACACATTACTTTCTTTTCGTTCACTACATAAACTGGTTCAGTTCTGCTCTTGTAGGATGGGACAGCAAAATTAGTGTGGTGGACTAAAATAGTGCTGACATTTTACCTGCCTATGCAAAAGGATGCGCTGCTGCTGCTAATGAATGCTTAGCATCTAGCTGATGGCAGAGAAAAATAAGAGGACGCACTCACTCCTCCCCCTGTGACATATGGTCTTCATTATATTGCGCTTCATCCAAAACATTGAGCAATATCCACCGAACCAGAAGGTTGAATCAAATAACTTTTCACTCTGCAGTCACAGTGACCGAAAAGAAATATTGGTAAATTATGTATTCATAATTCTACACTTTACATGTTATATTTGATTTCATTAGAGTCCAAGAGAGCTGATTCAAAACATTAGGATGGATGTACTGAGGGTATTGAGGCAGTGCAGAATAGGCTACAAGTGTTTAAACGTCCCACATCATGGAAAACTAAATTTTCCTTGCTTTCTTTCGTGTGGTATGTAAACCTTGTTAAAATTTCAAAACATACCAGTCCATAGCTACCAAAACAGAAATTTTTCAATTCATTATTTTTTTTTACAGCCATTTTGCTCTGCCCATTCACTCTGAAGTTATAAAGGAGTGTTTCAACCTGGACTTCTTTTTGAATGAGGCACATGACAAGGCAGCCAGTCAGAAAAAAGGTAATTTACATATATCAGGCTTAAAGTTACAGTAACAAAAACTGTCTGTTTAATTAATAGATAATGACAGGTTGAAAAATTACCTGCAACTGTGCAATAAAAAAGTAGATACAAAATAGAGGATATAATTTAATGTTGAAGAACTTCAAATTAGCTTCAAAATCTAACAAAACAATCCCAGAACCTCATTCTGAACACTTTTTCTACTCAGGTGTGACTCTTTTTAGTCAGTAATTGTCAGTAGTCAGTAATTGTGGACTGTCATTGTTGCATTCTACATTGCAGACATCAATAACTGTCAAGCCATTTACATTGCCATTATCTGTAATCAAGTCTGGTGCCAAAGTTCAGTCCCAGGAGCAGCACATTTTATAGCATGCTTGTGAATAACTCAGATGGAGACAAAATGTTGCCTCTAATCACTGATCTAAGAACTGATTCCACTAACCTAGTGTGACCTTAAGTGTTTGAGTATTGGTCATGACTCTGGCCCAGGGACAGCAGCACTACAGCTACTGCACAGTTAGACATGTGCTACTGTTATAAAATGAGACATGCTATGGCGACTGTGTCACAGTTTCCAAACCAGTGCAAAATGTACATACTAATGATAAATGGCGGTACAAATTAATTATCGCTGTCAGGTTGCTCAAGAAATGCATGAACCCACTTTTTTAGGTCTATAATTAGCTAATTATGCAGATACATCACTTATGGGCAGCAGTATATGGTCACTGTCAAATCAAATCATCTTAACTCCATTTCTTTTTATTTTATTTTATTTTTTTTTTATATTTTATAGAGTGTCTTGTGTCATGAAATGGTCCAAAATGATCCAAAATTGCTTGGAATAAAATATCTTGGAATTACAGTTTAAAATATTTTTTGGCTTTTCTATAAAATTACCACTTTGCAGAATTTTGGAGTTTTTCTATGACAGTAATCATATCCTGTATAAGCATATCAGAGATCAAGATTAATCATATAATGATTAAATATTTAATTATATTAATTCATTAGAATACAGAGCACCATTTGAGCACAGCGTTCCTGCCTAAAAGTATTCCTAAGTCATAAAAAACATCTACTAAACCATCAAACCAACCAGGAAACCCAAAACATCTGCGGTGGATATGCCTGACAGGTTCAGTTAGTGGTGAACACTCACAGAATGCCAGTAGCCCACTGTATGGAACATATATGCTTATCATCATGACTTACCACATAATAAAACTGCATGTCCTGACGCACAGGGTCCTCGGGCTGCATGGCTGTACATGAGGCTCTATGCGGTGCCACATAGAACCGAACCATCACAGTACAGCAGCAAAAGTAAAACGACCTGCATAAAGCGTTTCAACCACAAAAGAAGATCCACAGACGAAGACCGTGGAGCCAGTCAGAAGTCCATGGGCCTGCTGTAGGGGCTGCTGAAGAGTAGAAGAGCTACAGAACATCTGTGGAGCTGTGTCTCTGAAAAATGATAGCAGTCTGCTTTCCTGTGCAGGGTGCTCTGTGCATGTGTCTGTGTGTGTGTGCTCCAGTTGATAAAATACTAGCCTCTAAGACACAACAGAAACTCCACTGCACTGTGCCTGAAACAGGAAATACTCAGCTGGCAACACAGTGCTAAACTTGCTGGAGCTCGTCTCTCTGTAACAAAACTCCTCACCACTTGGACCGACCCCGTGATCATCCCTCCATTCCCTCCTCCACTTCTACACCATCATACAGCAATATTTAAAGACAAGTAGAAAACTCTGGCTCAAAGCCATTTCCTTCCTTTCCTCACCTTATCTCTGCAATAATGCAAAGGGAGCAGGTGAAATATTCTTTGGAAAATTACTCATTAACAAAATATGCTGGTGTCATATAGGTTCAAAGATAGTAACACAAGGATTGCATACGGCACCCTATTTACAGCCATGCATATTTAACAGGTTCCTGCAATTAGAAATGCAGAGATGGTTTGGTAAACGTGCCATGTAAATAAACAAGCATATGTCGAGCTGGACTGTGTGCTGTGTTCTCCATCATATTGGAGATTGATTGATTTAGGGTTCGAATGCAGTAAGATCGCTGACTCTTTTCTGCACTGTGGCTGTAGAAGGTCCAGACTACACTGTTGAGACCAGAGAGTCTTCAGATTGTTTGTCATCAGAAAAGGGGATGCTGTGATGTAGATGCAACCTACACAGGTGCAGTCCTATCTTCTATAGGCCCAGTAACATATTGCAGCAGTCATAACAAAACCTCATACCTGCAATGGTAGGTTTATACCACTGGGAGGGTTATGGGAGAAGGAAAAAGCTTAAATGTAACAGGTGGTAATGTAAAGTCATTTTGGATCATTTCTATTGGGCAGTTTGTCATGTAGTGTTCAAACATGGTAAAGATTAGTAGGTATTCTCAACTGGTGTAAATGGACTTAGGAGGTTTAGAAATGACACCAGTGACGTGCAGAGATGCAGTGAGTGCATCAGCAAGGCTGATATAATCACTGATATCTGACTTGCCATTTCCTCATTTTCAGCTTAAAGATGATTTCCACTGATTGTTCACACTTTTTGCATAATTAAATCGCTGAGATGTAAAAGAAGTAATTGATGTGAAATTCACCATTCTGAAGTAACTTACCAATTTCTTTACAATGGTGGTGATAGAAACCAGGAGTCATGATGTCGACAAGGCAGATATACTGCAACGCAGTGTCTACAATGCAAATAACCAGTGAATCTGCACGTCTCCAGAGTTTTTATGTGTAATGTTCACAATGGTAAAATAGTGGTACCCTGCATGTACCTTTGCACCTTAAATAGCTTTAGAAAAAAAAATGATGCCAAAACCTTCTCAAAACTATCGTAAATGCTCAGGCATCAGGCAACATATAACATATATAACCATTTTGTGTAATTCATTTAACAACTTTCTGTGAGGCAGCTATAAGGAACACTCCAGGTGTCTGGTTCCTATCACTTGGATTCTGACTTGACAAGTTTCTCTAAAACAGAACATTTTACATCAAACCACTCTGAATTACTTTGCTTACGCCTTAAAGGTTTATGGTTTCATTTTACATATTTTCTGAAAAATCGGTGGAAATCCCCTTTCAAAACAGGTGAAAAGACAATGGCATCCACAAGGGGGCAACATAGTTTAAAAGTTTCTGTCTAGGAGCGATTACATAAGTTTGTTATGAAATTAATAATGGACTGTTTTGAGCCCTCCATCTCATATTTGAGGGAAGGAAATGCAACTTTCCGAATAAGACTGAAATCATGCAGTTCTGCACTCTTGAGAGCTCAAACTACTGGGGAAATAAATAAATAAATAAATGACCACATTCAAATCAGCAGCTTTTCTGGTCGAAACCTAATTTTGCATAATGAATAAAACATAGCAGACAGTTATGTGAATAATCAGTTGTCAGTTTGTAATCGCAGCTGCTTGCGTTCTTCACTTCTGCTGTCAGCATAAACTCTTCCTTGCAGGAAATCATCTTAGATAACGTGATTAACATGATAAGGCTGGAGAGTTGTTTTTGGTAACACTTTATATTGAGAGTCCACTGTAAATGCTCACTAACATTCCTGCTGAAAAAAGCAGCACAGACCAGCATGATTTCCTTGCTGGTCTAGGCTGGTTTATACTGGTTTATGCTGGTCTGGTGCTGATTTAGCACCAGCATCCAAAACACAACATATGTTGGTTTAACTTTAACTTCAACACAATACCTAAATGTAATCATAACTTTAACTTCAGCACAATACCTAAACCTAATCCTAACTAACTTCAACACAATACCTAAACTGAATCCTAATCCTAACACTGTTGAGTTCCACCATTTAGTTTAACAATTAACAAGTAAAGCATCTGTAGAAAATCTGTAGGGAACAACAAAAATAAAGTGTTTTTTCTTTAAAAACACAAATACTTCAAGAGAATGGTTATGCAAGAAAAATAATTTATTTTAATGTAACTTTTTTAGCACATAGGCAAGACATAGCTGCTTGTAGAGCTCACAGCTACATATCCTTACTGCTGGAGAGTGAATTTCATAATATGCAGAATTTTATATACGTCTTTCCAATGATAAAATAACAAAAATAGAATTTCCAGTATTATCTTGCTTTCCCACTTAACTGTCTTCTAGGCCCAAGGGGAAGGGGCAATTTCATATATAGATATATATTTATATATTTCTTTTAAAGCTTTTTTTCTTTCTGTTCTGGCATTCTGTCATTGAGAGAGACAGAGAACTCTGTGCTGATCTGTCATACTATAATCTTGTCATAGACATTTCATATTTAACTCTGTGTTAAAATTTGAGCTTAATTGTACGTTATATATGGACAGAGTCCTGTCATAGCTTCTTGAATTAGGGCCTGGTTGAAAGTTATTTTTCTGCAGCAACCAGAGAGAAAACTGGTTTGGTCTTGGCCTACATTAGGGTGAGCTTGCAAAAAGTGTTATAAGATGACAGAGTGAATATCACTTTGATCTCTCTCTCTCTCTCTTCAATATTTATGCTGATATTGACTGCAATGCTTTCTGGCTGTTTACTGTGCTCTCACTTTGTGTTTTTGTTTTTTGCGCAGCAGAGATTCATCTCTCCTTTTTGTAGCTCCTGTAGGTGCCATGAGGAGAGAGCGATAGAGGGTGGGATAGTGGGAGAAAGGGGGAGAACCATTAAAGCAGTCCTAAGTTTTCCTGTAGTCTTTTTCACATAGAGAATAGCTTCACATACAGTAAGACATTTTCACTGTAGTCTGTTTTATATTGGACAATCCAATATTTTTGCCTGTAGGCCACTGTATTAGCTTCCGCATTGCCTTAGATGTATCTTAAAACTTTGAATAACAGAGATTTTTATACCTAAATATTACTACTTTCTCTCTCTGACTCTCTCCCCTCTCTCCCTCTCCCCCTTCCTCTGGAAACTGTGAGAGTTTTGTTGACCAAGGAGGAGTACAGCACAGAGTACACAAGAGTAATGATGGTTATAGTAGTAATCATAAAAAGAGTAAAAGAAACTCTGCATACTCCTACGGAAGTGCAATACCAAGGCATTTTAAAAACACAGAGGCTTCACGCCAGATTACAAGGCAAACAAACACTGGTTGTCTTTTTTTCATTCACTAAATAGTTAAAACAAGCATCACTCACTATTATAATGTAATACTTTCTGTATTTTCTTGTTATATTTTTAGATGCTGTCAGAATACCTGAAAGACTGATATAAGAAAAAAAAGAATATTTGATTTTAGTCCTCAGTGTTCAGGAAAGTCAGAACAGGTTTTTCGCTGGGCGCACTTCCACTCCTGGACTGCAGAGGGTGCTCTGGCTCAATAGCACCAGGTGTCTTGATTCTGATTGCGAACCAGAGATGTGCAGTCACATACGGGGGCATGGGGGGGGGCAAGCAGTCTTGGAATGCGGCAATGGCTGCTCAGGGTCTTCCTTTGTATCTCCAAGCATCTGACACTGAAACCAGATCAGGTCAGATCATCACAGGTAGCCTGTACAGTCCTCAAGCAGTGTCCCCTGCAAGTGTCTGTCTGTAGGCCTACATGTTTCTTCTCAACAGTCTGCACGGCTAAAACCTCTTGTAGTGGCTTGGGCAGTGACCACACACAATAATAATAATAATAACAAAATAATAAAATCAGAACAGAAAACTGAAGAGCATTGCTCCTTCTTCCTGACATTCACAGGCCTTCACTGCTAACTTGCCAGTACTGGCACTGAAGCAGCACATGCAGCCTCGATGCATAGTCTGAAATGGCCATAATGTGAGTGACAAATGCATTGTGGGCATAGACAGTGTCTAAAAAACACTGCAGCTGCAACTTCAAATTTGGGTTTGTGGTGGTAAGAGCAGCCTGCAGCACCACTAGCCTGGGCAAAAAAGATATAGAGAAATAAAGTTGAGCTCTTCTTTACCATTCAGAGGCCTTGGCAACTCTCCTCCCTGATTCTTTGAGTGTTATACAGTGCAGACTCTTCATAAAGAGCTTATACACATGGATCGGTAGCCAAAACGGGTTTCCTGAGTATCAAGAAACCCCTGAGAGATTTGCCGTACTGGATCAAACAAACATCCCAGCAGAGGGATCTACAACCTTCTGGCTGTGTGCCCACTCTTTTCCTATTTCTTCACCTTCTGATGTTCTGTCATTTGGCATTGTCTTCATAATCCGCTGTGTGGTTTTTCCATTGTGTGTATGTGGTACACAGACACAACTACATTGTGTACCACTATTGGCAGTGCGGGAAGAACTATAGGACTCAGTACAAGTGAAGGGTATTGCATGGTGGTGGTCCATGTTGTAACTTTGATCACTCTGTGCTGTGAATGCTCTCACAATAGGCAGTTTCAAAGGTAAAGTCACAAAAAATGGACAGTTTTGTGTCTTTTGCCTCTTATATCAAATAATTCTGAATTTACACTTCAGTATATATTGTATACGTAGCTTTGTACAGGTTAAATAAAACCCATAAGACTTTTATATGGCCTTTCATATCTCTTCTGGGGAAAAACATAGCCAGACAACAAATACAGCTTTTTAATCTGTAAACTACATCTTGTAATGAAAAAGTGCTTTGTTTTAAGGGGTACCAGGCCTTACTTGCAACCTTTATGGAATGTTTCTGTTTGGGCACTCATGCTTGCTGTGTGAGCACATTCACTTCAAACTGCATCCTAATTACAAAAGA